CCAAGCTCCTGCAAATGTCATTTGTTCTTAGTGTCGATACCACTGCAGTCCCTCAAGCTACCTCCTGCTGTCGTCCAGGATGAGCCATGAAAAGGCCTGTGACTGGGACCCGCTGCCCCCAAACCAAGATTCCATACGTGACCTACTACTCCTTGAAAATTCGGGTGACTGGTCTCCTCCCTGCTGTCTGCACCCACCCATCATTGGGACGATACTATAAAGATCAGCGTCCCACAGGCCTTGCTCGTCCATCATCATCTACAGGACTAAAGTTACTAAGAAACTCTCGTCCCTTGTTTGTGGGACTGCCTACGACCCAAAGTCACTTCTTTATTCAGACTCTGGTCAAGGTTGCTTCTGGAAAGAGTAATTCAGTGAGGGTGGAGGGGGAGAGAGAAGAGATGCTATTCATGTCTGACTCCGTATGGCTTTTAGCTTCATTTTTCTCTCTCTAAAAGTATTGGGCTTTGGGGCTCGGTTGATAGCACAGCAGGTAGGGCGTTTGCCTTGCATGCGGCCGACCTGGGTTCGATTCCCACCATCCCATATGGTCCCCTAAGCACCACCAGGAGTGATTCCTGAGTGCATGAGCCAGGAGTAACCCCTGTGCATCATTCATTGTGACCCAAAAAGAAAAACTATTGGGCTTTATCATCTACATTGCTCTCCTTGGTTGGTGAGAGTCCAGTGTGCCTCTCGTTTGGTCAGTGAGCCCACGTGAAGCACCCGGTCAGGCCTTGTGTGCTTATTTTCGGTTTCTTTGCTGTTCTTTCTTTGAAGCAATTATGATTGATGACCATTTATTTGAATATGGGAAGCACATAGCACAGTGGGAAAAAGATTCATTTGCAGTCAGACCTCTGGGGTCCGAGTCTGGGAGCCTAACACTTACGCAAGGACAGAACCTTCGATCAATTAACCAGCCCCAACCGTGGCTCCTGCATGCCTGTCAAGTGGTGCTTCCTCCTAGCTCGGTAGTGGGATTCAGTGAAGAAAAAAAAAAAATCCCTGTATACAGACTCAAATAAGCCCACTGTCATAAATACACAATAAAAATGGTGACAGTTATTATTGTAGCCTACTTACTTTTGAATAGGATTTTGAAGCAGCTTACAGCAAAACAATATGGTGATACTAAATCATAGCTTTGAATAATAATTCGTCACAAGACAAATGTCAAACCCACGAAAATATTTGCAGCATATCTGACAAAAGGGTAATCTTAATTTACAAAGAGCTGTGAGGAGCCAAAATTGGCAAAGGATAAGCCGGGCAAAAAAAAAACACAAATGATCAGCAAGCAAAAGAAAAAGGTGCTTGCCCTGATTTATTGCAGGAATAAAAACTTGCTAATCAAAGTATGTATTTTCATATACCAACTTGTCATAATCTCTGAGTTGGACAACATCCAATTTAAGTGAGGATATGGAAAAAAGCTACTTTTATAATACTAACATAATGAGGCTTCCAATCTCGGCATGTGTTCTGTAGATGTGTATGTGTGTGTGTGTTTGCTTGTTTATGTGTCTATATTACACACATCCCAAGAAGAGGTGTATAATTCATAGACAATTTGTCAGTGTCTCTCGGTCTTTTAACACTTGATATGTAGATTCTTTTTTTTCCTTCTTTTTTTACTTTTTTTTGTGTTAAATGAACTCAGGCGTCACCTGTGTCAGGCAGGCTCGCGCTCTCTCTCTCTCTCTCTCTCTCTCTCTCTCTCTCTCTCTCTCTCTCTCTCTTTCTCTCGCTCTGTCTGTGAGCTATACCCTGGTCTGTCAGTACCTCTGAGCACATCCATTAGGGAAAAAGGAGTATGAGAAAATAAAAATGTTAGTCAGTGCTCAGTAACTATATATCGAGAACACTGTATGCCTTTTTGTGTGGAGTTTTGCTTTTATCATGTATAGCCATTGATTTTTATTTTAAAATTCATTGGTGGCAAATGGAGATAATCAGTAATAAAGTAATGAAAGAAATTGCTTCCTGTGGCCGAGCATAAACTCTTCTTGAGCTTCCTATGAACTGAGGCAGAAAGGGGAGCCTCGAAAGAAGCACAAACATTTCCCTGGCAAGGAAGAAGGTTTTCCAAATCTTGGTCCCAAAAGGATTGGTCTAGATCCCGATCTGGATCGGCCAGAGAAGTGGTGGTGTGTGGACACAGGGGCCCACTGTGTGTCTGAAGGGTAGATGGTCACGTGGTCCCCCCTCACATGGGTGGGGCTGGAGGGCACCGTGGTCAGTGGAATGGTCAGTGGGAGGACAGATGGCAGATGGCCTCAGGCTCCTGGGGGGGGGGGGAGAGACAGGACAAGGTAGCACACAGTGTCAGAGCCCTTTGCCTTGGGTGACAAAGGTGAGATTACCAAATGGAGGGAGGGCCAATGACCAGGTGGGCCCAAAGTAATGGACATTGGTGGGGGGTGTAGGGGGACTTTGGAAGGAGGGAATGCAGTAGCTTTGTACAGCAAAGCCGTAAGTGCGAACACTAGTGTCACTATTACAACCACGTTATCTATACCAGGAAGAAAATTAATTACAAATAAATGGATCTGATCTTGCCTCTCCCCATTTTAGAATTTACTGGGGTGGGCTCCATCCTTGTGACATTTCTCTCTGGTCCAGTCTTGACCCACCTGATTGGCCTCTCCTCCAAGTGACCTTTCGATGTCTGTGGGACCAGAGAGACAGGACAGTGGGGAGGGCACTTGTCTGGCACGCCCCTAACCCGGGTTCAATCGCCAGCACTCCACGTGGTTCCCCAAACACCACTTGGAGTGATCCCTGAGTGCAGAGACAGGATAAAACCCTGAGCACCACCCAGTGTGACCCAAAAAAGCCAAACTGACTTCTGTCTGGAATGGTCTCTTTTTTTTTTTTTTTGCTTTTTAGGTCACACCCGGCGATGCACAGGGGTTACTCCTGGCTCTGCACTCAGGAGTTACTCCTGGCAGTGCTCAGGGGACCATATGGGATGCTGGGAATCGAATCCGGGTCTGCCGCGTGCAAGGCAAATGCCCTACCCGCTGTGCTACTGCTTCAGCCCCTGGAATGGTCTCTTATCTAATTTGGGACCATGGCTGTTGTTGGTGTGTGTCAGTGTGTGTATGAAGATTTTCAGTTCTTCGTTATCCAGATACCCAGTGGGATTCCAAGGTCGGTTCCCCTGAGACCCCCAAGCCTGCCTCCTCAGTGATGGAGCTTGTCACCACCTTGTCACCATGATTGTTGGTTTGTCGGCCCCCCCAGGTGAGGGGCTCCACCTGCCCCTGAGAGAGAACCTGGGAATCAGATCAGATGCCCTTTCACTATGTGGAAGATACGGGGGCGGAGGGGGGGGGAGGGACTCGTGAGGAGGAAGACCAGGAGCTTGGTTTTTAAAGGCTCTGTTTTAAGTACCTGGTCTATAGCCACATGGTGAGGGCGGATTTATGGGGAAAGGCGAGTCTGTGTTCAGATCACAGGACCCCTGCTAGACTCAGGTTTAGGAGTCATCGGCGAACACAAGGTTTGTAATGCTGTGGAGTAGATGAACAGCCCAGGGAGAGGAGCATAGGCGGAAGAAGGGAGTCTTGGGATGGAATGACTCCAACATTAAAAGGAAGCGGGGTGGCGGGGGCTGGAGCCATAGCACAGTGGGAAGGGCATTTGCCTTGCACATGGCCGACCCAGGTTCGATTCCCAGCATCTCATATAATCCCCTGAGCACCGCCAGGGGTAATTCCTGAGTGCAGAGCCAGGAATAACCCCTGTGCATCACCAGGTGTGACCCAGAGAGCAAAAATTAATTAATTAATTAATTAAAGGAAGGAGATGTAGAGGGCCAGATTAATAGCACAACGGGTAGGACACCTGCCTTGTACACAGCTGACCCGGGTTCAGTCCCCAGATCCCCTATGGTTTCCTGAGCACCACCAGGAGTCATTCCCGAGTGCAGAGCCAGGAGTGACCCCCAAGCGTCGCTGAGTATGACCCAAAAACAGAGAGGAAGAGGACATAGAGAAACGAGGAACGCCTGCACTGGGAGGGGGCAAACGCCAAGGTAGCAGCACTGCAGATTTTAATTAGCGGTTGGTCGAGTGGCTTTTTGAGCATCCATGATGATGTTGGTATACAGAGATGCTCGGGTCTCAGTTTCCAAACAGGTGATTCAAAATAAACTTTGCTCTGCCGTTCCTCCCTGAGTAGAATTCCGCTGCCTGCCCTTCAAGGTCATTATACTTGATTTTTAACAGTTCTTTTTAAAGAAAAGAATCTCTTCACAGTCAAAGCCTATAATAAACCCTTCAATTACCCTCTTCTTCCCAAGGTAGGAGAAGAGAAATCCTTGGGTTATCTGAACCCAGAAAGCATCGCTGCCTTTTCTGAAGTGCTCACGGTCCAGCTGCCTGGAGACTGGATCCCTTCCTAGTTCTTATCCAATTCTAGGATATTTATTTGCAAATGGGAAGAGGCAACTTGAGAATATGCCAGAACTTGTCCCATTTGTTTCTAAGTCCTCATCTCGTGGCCGGTTTCCATACTCTAGTCCCAGGTTAAAATGAATATGTGGGTAAGAGGAGAGGGAAAGTGTTGTAGACAATAAAAGTCGATTAATTTCAGGCAAAACAGAAGTAAGTCGAGGGGCTGGAGAGATAGCACAGCGGGTAGGACGTTTGCCTTGCACGCGGCCGACCCGGGTTCGATTCCCAGCATCCCATATGGTCCCCTGAGCACCGCCAGGAGTAATTCCTGAGTGCAGAGCCAGGAGTAACCCCTGTGCATCGCCAGGTGTGACCCCAAAAAAAAGCAAAAAAAAAAAGTCGAAATTTTCTTTCCATTCACCTGCCCCAGCTATCTTGGAGGATATGGTCCCTCGGGCCGACGTCCAACGAGGCTGGTGCGGTAGAAGATCCGTTTCCCGGTGACACGGTTTTGTTTCTTAGTGATCAATAACGAGAGGGCTTGGGCAGCCCAGGCGGCTCTCACCATGCGTGTCCTCCTCTCTTCTCCCACCCCAGAGCACGTCTGTTCCATCCTGGCCTCCCTCCTGCGCAACCTGAGGGGGCAGCAGCGAACTCGGCTTCTGAATAAATTCACCGAGAACGACAGCGAGAAGGTGAGAGCCGCCCCCCCCCCAAACTGCGTCCCCGCCCCAACCCACCCCGCTGCCCCTGCTCCACGCCCAGCCCCACTGCTTCCATTGCGTTGGCTCCTCCGTGACTCTGCCTCACCCCTGCAGTTGCATGGTCGCTAAGTGACACCTTGGGGATGGGCGGGGAGGCTGTCAGCCAGCACTCCAGGGGGATTGTTAGACCCAGGGAGGAAGGGGTCTAAGAGGGTTCTTGTGGTTGGAGGAGGGACAGGGGTGGGTAACACAACCTGGCAAAATGATTAAGATCATCACATGACTTTGCTTAGGTTCAGGCCTCTGTGCCCAGAGAGAGAGATGGTGCAGAGGTGAAGGCACTGGGCCTTGCGTGCTGCAGACCCTGGTCCCCCACCCAAGTACCGCTGGGAGTGACCCCTGACCACAGAGCCAGGAGTATGATCTGAGCACCGTTGGGTGTAGAAAACAACAGCCAACTATGCCCAGGCCTCCGGGTTTGAGCCTGGTGTTGCTACTTGCAAGCTATGCACCACTCTGAACCTCTTTTTTTCTGGCTTTGACGTACGAGCCTCGACGTGGTGGAAAGGGGATGAAATGAGCTCTTCCTTGGGGGTAGTGATGAAAGTGAAGTTGATGGAGAGAAAAATGGTGGAGCTTGACCTAGATGAGCTGGAAAACATAACAGTGCTCCTGGAAATGGGAGCAGATGTCAGGGTGGGGATGTTTGTGTGTGCTGGGGATTAAACCCTGGGCCTTGTACACTCAGACTAGACTCGTGCACACCACAATCACTAAACTCCATCCCCAGCCAACTGTGATACATTTGGCCACGGGGTGACAGCCAGAGGTGGTTGGGGGCTATTCTTGCTATTCTTGGTGGTGCTTGGGGGACCATATGTGGTGCCAGGGTTTGAGCAGGGATTGGCCCCATGCAGGGCCTTACCTCAACTGCCTCTCTAGCCAGTATACTTTGTTGTTTGTTGGGTTTTGAGCCACACCTGGCTGTGCTCAGGGATTGCTCATGGTGGTGCTTCAAGGACCACATACATCCAGGGCCAAGGATCAAACCCAGGTTGGCTGTCTGCAGGTGCCTTACCCACTGTACTATCTCTCTGGCCCCCAACGACAGTACTTTTAACAGCAATACATGCAGCGATTTATGGTTGGGTAATTCCAGCAGATACCTTTGACTGTTGCATTTATTCTACAGCAGTGGTGGTTTCTCCACTTGCAGTTTTCACTCCCGTTTACACATAAGGAAACTGAAGCACAGCCATGATATGTGATTTGCCCAAGATCCAAGGAGAGCTAAGATCTGAACCCAGGCTGCCTGAGTCCAGAAAAGCTATGTCTTTCTCAGGTTGGGCAGAAATAGGAAATTTCAGATAGGTAAAGATTAAAGACCAGGGGCTCCCCCCTTCCCGCCCCCTTCTAATACAATTGTCTCTTTCTTTCCTGTGTCTAAGTTGAGACTAGTTTGGTTTATTTGTTTTCCCTGCTCTGGAGAATTGCTGCAGACAGTCCCCCTGAGCCCACTTCCTGCCCTTGTCCCCACACTGGCCAGCAGTGTGGAGGCCAGTCAAGAGCCCAGCAGGTTAGACTGGAGAGTATGGCAGGAACCTTGTCACCTCATGACAGACACCCCTTCACTTCTCTGCTTCAGTTTCTTCATCTTCAAAACTGGGGGTTACAATCTCTCTCCCCTGCTATGATGTCATGGGTTGGTCTTTTGCAAGGTGAGGAGGGGCGTTCCTTAGGTTTAAAGAAAATAACAGCTACAAAAATACTTTGCGCACTGAAACAGCATGGTAGTTACCATAGAAAGTTTGCTCGAAGTCTTTCTGCAAACTCTTCTGATGCCATGTTGAAGCAACAATCCATTATTAATCAATTTCAGCTCCTGGCATACATTTTGCCAGGTTTGCCAAGAACCTGGGCATTGCCAGTTTGAGTTTTTTAAAAATAAATGGGCTAGACATCTAGGCTGGTTGCACTTTTTGGAAGTCTTAGAAAATAAAATTTCCCGAGCCCACCCAGTGCTCCTCAGGCCATGATTGAAGCATGACTTGGACTGAGTTTAAAATTTATTTTTTAACTTACTACTGAGCAGAAGTCAAGATTTTTTTTTAAGTTGCCAGAGGAGTTTTTCTTACACTCTCTCCTGATTCAGAAGTAACTGAAGAGATGCTACTCAGACCTTTTTCAAAAAAAAAGAAAGATCAGCTCTGGGGCAAAGTCTGAACATGAAAGGCTTCAGTGCGAAAAGAGAAATTTCTAGAAAGTTCTAAGTGAATATCAAATAGGTGGCTTCAAGCTCCTTCACTCTGCCAGAAGGGATTGGAATTTCTGTTTGTTTTTAACGGTTCAGATTCCTGGGGAGGCCTGTGCCCCCGTTGGGGCCTGGGCCCGCTCTGGGGCCGGATCCATCCAGGGGGTCTGCTTTGTTCTGTCCGCCCTCTCGCCCGTCCGAGATGCCATCCTGAGCTGAGCTCGCCGGGGCGTTGGGGGGCGCAGAGAGACAATGAGATGAAGCGGAGAGAGAAGTGCCTTCATTCCCCTGCCCTGCCGCTCTCCCTCCCCACTCAGGCCCGTGGCGCTCTCTCTCTCTCCCTCTCTCAGGTCGACAGGCTGATGGAGCTGCATTTCAAATACCTGGATGCAATGCAGGTGGCTGACAAGAAGATCGAGGGGGAGAAACACGTGAGTGCCCCTGCCTAGTTTTCCGTGAGAGACTGGCGTGCTCCTTCTGACCCCTCCACTCCCGGGATGGTCAGGACAAAGGCGCCCACACGTGTCCCATGGCGACCCTCGTGTTGTAAGCGACCCTCCTGTTGTAACCAGTCCCCCTGTGGTTGTCACTGCCCCGGCGGAGAGGAAAGATGACACAGCAGGACGGGCATTAGGGCACAGGCCACGTACCCTTCACGTACATTTGAAGCCCGGCCCTTTGATGTGTCGCTGCCTGCCATGGCTGGGCAGGTCTCGTCCACGCACGTGCTGATTCTGTGTCAGATGGGGAAGGGTGGTCACAGGTGCTCAGAGCCCAGAGTGAATGCATACGTAATGGTGTCAAGTTCCCTTAAATGCCAGCCCTCATTTCTTGCTGAAGGAGGCGAGGGCTGAAAGAATGCAGTCACCTGGGGGCTGGAAGGATGCAGTGACTTGAGAACTGGAGGGAAACTGGAGGGATATAGTGGCCTGGGGGCTGGAGGGATGCAGTGACCTTGGAATGGACTGATGCAGTGACCCGGCGGCAGGAGGGATGCAGTGACTAGAGGCTTGAGGGATGCAGTAACCAAGAACTACAGGGATGCAGTGACCCAGGGGTTGGAAGGATAGTGTTCAGGAGCTGGTGGGATGTAGTTACCCTGGGCTGGAGGGATGCGGTGACCCTGGACTGGGGAGATGCAGTGACCAGGAGCTGGAGGAATGCAGTGACCCTGGGCTAGAGGGATGCAGTGACCCTGGGCTGGAAGGATGAAGTAACCAGGAGCTGGAGGAATGCTGGTGACCAGGAGCTGGAAGGATGCGGTGACCCACCGTCCGAGTACAGTTCATTTGTTCCTCCCCACCCACTCTGCCCCTTCACAGAGAACCCCTTCGTGCAGGGGTAGCAGTGAGTAGGGCTCTGCTCCTTGTTCTTCCTTGTTTGGAGATGCTTTGTGCTCCCAGGCATGGCCTGGCCGGGGGTCTCTCTTCTTTCCTGCTCTAGTGCTCGGCTCCCAGTGAGCAGCACAGATGAAGCACTGTAGACTGGGCCTCCGCATGCCCCGCCTCCTTGATTTTGTTCTTGGAGTTCGCGTTTCTGTCTTTTCTTCCCTTTACGGTCCACTCCTGTGTGATGCACACTTGGTGATTGTTGAAGTGCCAGAGTGACGCATGAGTCCTCTTCACCTGAATTATAATTAGAAACAAATCGAAGTTTCCGTAGGCTTTTGTAGTGCAGCACCCTCATGACAATTGGGACTCCTGCCAGGACAGAGCCCCCCCAGGCCCCCAATATCCATCCACTAGAGGAGATTTTCAGGGTAGAAGGAATAGTAGTGGGGAGTTGGGGGCCCGGGACCTTGAGTGCAGAGCCACAAATCATCGCATCCCCTTGTGGCACCCCCGATTCTTAGCTGGATTGTGGTATCAGCAGAGGTGCTGTCCGGGACCCCCCACCCCCACGTCACGTCTCCCCGCGACTCCGGCCAGCGGGCTCTGGTGAGCGAGCTTTGTCAGCTGCCCGGCTCTGAGAAGGACTCGATGAGCAGCCGCGGGAGAGGGCATGCCTGGCTGCATGGCCTCCTTTGTGAAGAACAGCCAGGCAAGATCAAATAAAAGTAGACGTGGGGCTGGAGCCGTGGTACAGCCGGTAGGCTGCCAGGCTTGCACCCGGCCGACCCGGGTTCGATCCCCAGCTTCCCCATCTGATTCCCTGAGCTCTGGTGGGGCCCAAAGACAAACAAGTAGGCATCAGGTGGCATTCCCCAACCCCTTGCATTTGGGGCTCTGCCGATTCCAGCCTCTGAGGCCTGGGATGGGTGCGTGGTCCCCTGGGAGCTCTGGTTTTGGCACCGGCACCAAGGAACTGCCCAGGTCACTCTGAGGACAAACGCGCCAGCAGGTGAGACACCTGCACCTTCTCGGGCTCGGTGTGGTCCCCCTCCTCCCCAAATGGTTCTCCTTTTCCAGAGGACACGCTCCCTGCCGGGTGCGCCAGAGAGCTCGCCCCAGCAGACCCAGGTGTCGGCACCAGCAGAGATTTGTGTGAGTTGAAACCAGTGCCGAGGGGGAGGCCGAGTCGGCTCCTGGGCCATGGGGAGCCTGGCTCTGTGCCCACGCGCATCCGTGTTCCACGTTGATGAGGGTGTGGGATTAATTAGCCCCGGATGGGGAGAGTCACCACAGCCCCTCTGCCCAGCTGAGCCTGGACCCGAGTCTGCAGCCTGGTGGGGGGGGGGGGGGGGGGGTGCTGGTCATTCCCTGGCAAGCATCTGCCGCCTCCATGCCAAGGCTGCTGTGCTGGGCCCCAGCCAACACGCCAAGGCCACTGGTGCTCTGCAGCGTGGCTCGGCCTGACCCCGCCGCGCTCGGGCCCCATCCTGGCAGGGTACACACCTCCAAGGTGGGAGGTCAGTGGGGACCGTCCCCCGCTTTCCCTGCTCCTCCCATCAGCGGCAAACAGCGTGTCACCTCGCCCCGCCATCCATTAAACTTCCATGGCCGACCTCCCTGGCGAGCTCAGCAAATATTTGTTGACTTGAATTGGATGCTTATTTTCCCGCCCTCGATAACATTGAGTGTCAGAGCGGTAATGAATACCTCCCTGACATCCCTCAACAAGTCGGCTGCAGCACCTCCCTCCCCCCCCCCCAAAAAAAAACAAAAAACACCTTAGCTAATATGGCCTGGCACCAACCCACATAACGGAGAGCAGACACCGCCGGTCACCGTCCCTCCCAGAGACGCAGACTTGGCGCCATGCCCGTGGCTTGCAGTTGACCAGGACCCGCTTAGAGAACCCGGTGGTTTGGCCGCTGTGTCTCAGGCGCAGACACTGGCAGGGGTGGCTGAAGAATGGGCCGGAAGCAGTGCCGGGAGGAGGCTGGACTTGTCCAGGGCACAGGGAGAAGCTGTCGCCCAGAGTCGCCCCTCAGCAGTTTTGTAGGTGGAGCCAAACGCTTTTAAGGGCCCAGTTGTGTGGGCCGTCTAGAGAACCCGGTACAAAGGAGAAGCCACGTTAGCACGGAGCGAGTGGGAGGTTCAAGTCCAGAACCTGGGCTGGGGGGATGGTGCAGTCACTAAGGTGCTTGCCTTGTACGTGGCCAACCCGGCTGCCAGCCAAATACCCCATATGGTCCCTCAGCTCTGCCAGGTGTGGGCCCCAAGCATAGAGGGATGTGCTCCCAAAACAACAACAACAGCAACAACAACAAATTAATAAGGTATTTTTTTAATTTTAAATTAATTCCAAGGCGGGTAGGGATAGGAGGTGAGACACCAGCCTTCTTTGTGATTCATCTGCCCTGAGCAGCTGATGTGCCCTGGCCTGATTTTCTTCATAAGGGCCCTATCCTCATCTGTATGTTGGAGTTTGGGTTTTATTTTGTATCCTGGGGCTTGGGAGCCACACCAAGCATTGCTCAGGTCTTGCTCCTGGCTCTGCGCTCCGGGATCCCTCCTGGTGACACTCAGGGTGCCAGGGATCAAAGCCCGGTTGGCCTCGTGCATGGCAAGCACGTGTCCTGCAGTACTGTTGTCCAGCTCCCAGTCTGATTATTTGGAGGCAGGTAGGAGGTAATCCAAGAGACTTTCGTTTTCTTCTTTGTGTAGGGAGTGCCTTCCTGCTGGGAAGGACTGCAGCTCCTGAGATTAATTAGCATTTGCTCATGGGCATTAAGAAGTATAAATATTCCTGGGTTTTTTGCATTATTCCTTTACTCTCCTTTTTTGACCCGCCTTCTTTTCATGCTCGCTCTCTCTCTCTCTCTCTCTCTCTCTCTCTCTCTCTCTCTCTCTCTCTCTCTCTCTCACTAACCCTGTCGCCAGAAATATCTAAGTGCAAATAGACTCTATGGTACACGTAGATTGTCTAGTACATGTAAACTCTGGTACATGTAGACTCTGTGGTACACATAGACTCTGTGCACACCTAGATTCTGTAGTACAAGTAGACTGGTCCACATAGACTGCAGTACACATACACTCTGATACACATAGATTCCGTGGTACAAGTAGGCTCTGGTACACCTAGACTGTAGTACACCTAGACTCTGTTGTACATATAGATTCTGTGGTACACATAGACTCTGTAGTACACATAGAACTGTGGTATACATTGACTCTGTGGTACACGTAGACTGTAGTACACATAGACTCTGTGGTATAAGTAGACTCTGTGGTACACATAGACTCTGGTACATGTAGGTTCTGTGGTACACATAGACTTTGTAGTACACCTAGACTCTGGTACTCTGGTACACGTAGACTTGTGGTACATGTAGACTCTGATACATGTAGACTCTGTGGTACATTGTAGACTCGTAGTAAAATGGAGGCTGATTTGTCGAGGAAAGCCCCTGCTGCTTCTTCAGAGCAAACTGGCCAGAGTGTGCATGTTTGTGTCCAAGCCCGCAGCTGTGCTCCTCCAACTGGTCCCACCCGCCCCTGTGTCTGCTCAGCCCCGTGTGTGTATGCACGCAGTGTCGGCCACCTCGGGTCTGCACAGCCCCTCAGGGCGCCTGGCTAACAAGATTTGACCTGAACTTTTACAGGGCATGTAATTCTTTAAGACTCTCCTCGTAAGCAGCAGTTCTCTGTGATCTGTAAATATCTAGGATGCTTGTCTCAGCAGATTTCGCCCGATTCCCCAACAGCAAGAGGCCCGGAAAATCCCGGGGTCCTTGTTGTTGGGAAGATGTCTGGGCTTGGCAGTCAGAGAGAGAGGTACGGGGACGCCCGCCTTCCCCCATCGGGAGGCAGTCATCTTGACAGCGCCCCACGGGGGCATTGGGAGAGAGAGAAGAGCCTGGGAGGGAGACCTCTCCCCTGATTCCTGGGAAATTATACTCAGCAGGTTTATTCAGCAAAGTGATCGCACCACATACTTTCACAGTAATGACTTACAAATTGCATGCTAATTTTGCCACGGCTAAGTCATTCCTGGCTTTGTCCTGGGAAGGGAGGGATGGGCTCCTGGTAATGAAGCCACGTCC